AGGAATGCCAATGAAAATATTCTTAAGTTACAATGGGTGTAACACAGGATTTTCACATTACCCCCTCCCTCTGGGGGAAATTCATAACTGTGTCTACAGTGTGAACTCAACTCATATGGGTCAGGGCAGATCTACCCAGTCAGTGTGTTTGTTTCCCCTTCCATTTTCATTGGCAGAAAACCAAACAACTAAGGGGAAACAGGCAGTGCAGGGCCCCCACCCTGGCTCTGAACATATTTTTTTCTTTTGTAGCTGGTTCCCTCAATTTCCCAGATCAATCAAAACCTGCTGGAGACACTGCTGTGATAAAGTCGGTTGCTGTCAGGAGGTGCAGAATATTTGTGCTAGGGAGATCAAGAGGGGTCAGAGCTTTTAGTGGCAATAGTAACCCAAGAGAAATAAATACCTACTGAATTCCAGTGTAAAATGGGACCTGGGGGTGGTATGGGATATCTGGAAACACACTGAATTTCTAATGGTCTCTGTATTGTGCTAGCATCCCACTCTGAGAGAGTGAAGAACATCAACTCTGATCTTTCCAGGGCTATCATAAGGTTTTGGAGATCTGGTGTGTAACAAATGCTGATAACGTAAATACTTGGATGACTCCGTCTAAGGGCTGGTTAGGATGCTAGTCTTGAGAAGTCAAGAGGTCAGTTCCCTGAAATTTCCTGTCCAAAGTCTCAACAGCCTGCGTATGAACGGTACATCCTAAATTGGTGTAGAGTTCTAGTCCATCTGTGTCCTTTAACAATCATGCTGTGCTTTATGTATTTATTTATGAGAAAACAAATAACAAAATCTCTCTTGGTGTAGGACCATGTCATACAGTTGTATCATGAGGAAGTGTAGATCAGTTTCTTCTGTCTTGGTTTTAGTGAAAAGTCTGCTGCTGGGTTTAGTAGTAGCTTGTTACCGCCTGTGTTCATGGTAAATGCTTCCTGAGTCAGTAATTTACTATGCTCTGCTTTTCTAATCTTAACCTCAGATTTGAAAATTAAGCTTTGCTCTTCCTGATTTTTTAGTACTTTATTACTGTTACTGACCTCAAGTGTATCCTGAAAAATAATTTTATCATGTTAGAAACAGGATGTACAACCACCTGTTTCTCCCGGATTTACGTGTAGTGTTTGAACCACCAAAACTAGCGAGAACGGCTGTATTGGCTTCTATGTAAGATACACAAGATAGGGCCTTGTGCTCTGCCTTGCATGGCTGCTTTCCCTTTCCCATGCTGGCCACCTCTGTTCCAGTAAATGAGACATGCCCAGAGCTGTTCTCTGCCTCAGAGGCCAGCTCATGCCGTGTCCCAAATGCACACAGTTATAAAAATCAGGGTACCTGTATTCAGATTGCGTGTTGGGAATGGTCCCTGACCTGTGCCGGTGGCCGAGCCATGCCCAGGAAGGGTTTGGAGAAGAGCTTTCTGGGCTGGCCCGAGCGGTGCCAGGGTCAGCCTCGCGCTGCGGCCGTACAACAGTTGAGTCCCGGAGCCTGGGATCGTGCTCGCCATCACGGGGGAGCTATTGATACTGTTCCTGATCAGTTGGTTGAGATTAGTTTCAAGCATAAGCCATAAGGTTTACAATCCCTTACAATTATGTCTCTTCTTATCAATTATTATGTATCTGGAGGGATTCAGAGGTCTTATTAGATATTCAGAAAAATGTCTGTTGGGTTTCTGAATTTTGTGTTCCTTGTTTTGATACTTTTCAGGTCAGAGTTCCACAGGCTGATGTTGTTGAGAAAATATTGTCTTTTATCAGTTTTCAATTTGCCACATATAATTTCAGTAATTAAGGGCCTTGTTCTTGTCTCACAAAAGAGAGAAAATAACCACTTCTAATTCCATGTGATGAAAAATTTAATTTGTTAATAATCTGATAAGCAATAAGGGTTAGAGCAACAGTAAGCAGGAATAATAAGTGACTTCACAGACAACAGTTACACTTTCATATATGTCTGTATATTAGCCTGTGAGGAGATTTTTTTTCTACCATTCAATTATTCTCAGGTGCACCAACTGGTTCAGCCATTTAAAGCGTATGCTGCAGGTCGTAATGCGTCAGCAAAAGAAGATGCGAGGCAAGCTGATATGACTGGCCAGGGCATAGTACGCTCTTTGTCTCCTGGTTTCAGTGGCCAAAACCCAATTGTTGAATTATTTTGTGAGAGCACAATCTTGTCTTTCATTGAATTATAAAAGGCTCTGCCAGGGTTATGTGCTATTTCCAGTCAGGAATATGGAGGCTTTAAATTCTTGCTGGGTACAAGGAGTACTATGCAGATGATGCAATGGGAACGATGCAGAATGAGAGTCTGGACTGAGTTTTTAATAGTGCTTAAAATAGTGTTTTCTTACAAATCAACAAAAAAAGTCACATTTGCAAACTAAAACAGAGATGAAAGATTCTTCCTAATTACATCTTTATTATACTCATGCTGTGCAAAATGCATTTCATTATGTGTTGTGGTTTTAAGTAGGATAATGTAAAGTTTCACTCATATAAAGCTTATAAGACTCTTATTTTTTTTAATTATGCTGGTTATATTACTGGTGAGTCTATGCAGGTGGTTTCACATAAAAACTGGTAATGTTTATCCTGTTGGGGTTTCTATATATTCTACACCTATTAATATAAATAAATATTTTAGGAATTATTTAAATTGTATTGAGTTTCATTTTTTTATAACCTACACTACACTGCCAGGTATTTTAGTGACCAGCAGTTTAACTATTTGGTGTTTGGAGAAATTTAACACCCCACCCCACCCCACCCCCAAAGGTGAGCTGAAATGTATTTCTCCACAGACAAGTTGTCCAGCGTCAAAGCCTGCTATTGATGCCTTTACAGAGCTGGAAATTAATGTAACATCCTACTAATGCAGAGCAATGGGATGGGTTTGAACCCTACCCAGAGGAATAATGCTTCTATTTTTAAGTGGGGAGGGCAGGTGACATTTTTAGAAACTTCATGACTAAATTAGAATTAAACCTTGCCTTTCCCAGTCTTTAGGCAGAAAGTGTAATTTGGGAAAGAAATTCGAAGATTGGAAGGAACTGTTTCTGTGACAGTTTGATATAAAAGATCAACATCTCGCTCTCCCAAAATCCAATCAGCAACTTGGGAATTCAGAATACGCCTAATGAGTTGGCAAGGAAAGGAAGGAAGAGTATGGATTGCTGTGTGGACATTAGGCCAGGTGTAAAATGGTTCATGTTAATTGTTTAATTGCACGGTTACCAGCTTTTCATACGCAACCCGAGTATCTGAGAGTGGATCTCTCTCCCTGAATGGGTGTTTGCACGTGTTGGTCCAGTTATTACTCCTTTTCTTAAAACGAAAAGCAAATGATCAGAACAAGAGAGGATAGCACAGCCTTCCTCACTGCTTGGGTCCGCACCGTGCCTCCCCTGTAGTTTTCCTACGGCAGCAGTTATGGAGTCTCACCCTCCCGTTCTGCCTTGAGGGGGCTGCAAGGCTGAAGACGGGGACTGTAAAGCTTCAAATACAGGACTCAAAGGCATCATTGTGCAGGAAAGGACTTTAAACGGTTGCTGAACTTTAAGTCCATGCTTAAATCCAAATCATATCTGTGAGATTTTAGGATTTGCTCAAGATTTTTGTGAATTTAGGGCCGTGCACACTGTAGAAAATGCTGAAGAAGAAATGGTTCTAGGTTATTATTACAGATCAGGGGACATTTATATTTATACACAATCACAATCATACGAGGTCAGTAGACCTCAGACCTGTAACATTGTATGGGCAGGGACAAACTTTTATACACATCAGGATGAGATTCTTACTTCCCTTCTATTTATTGCAGAGATAATCCCTTTTTGTTGGTTTTTTTTTCCTTTATTTTTGTCCCTTTTCTTTAAATTTGGATGTTTAAATAGTTAGAAATAGGATCATCTGGTTAATTTGAGGATTACAATGCATGCTAACATTAAATTATGTGTTGTGTATAGTAATTTTTATCAGGGCCAGCATACTGTAGCAAAATAAGGATCTTCTTGGGAGATCAAACAGCTTCTACTATTTGGAATGTAAATAAAGAAGCAAAAATAAACCTGCTACACCTCCTCATTTGCACTTTCTCAGACAGAACTCGATCAAATTGTGGGTTGTGCAGAGAGCAGACAACATGGCTTGGTATGCAGAGGCTCCAGAAGAGTGCTATGCTTAATGTTTTGCATAAAAATTTGTATAGGTCTTATCTTATAACTAACTTATAAGTGAGTAAGCAAAACACTACTTTATGTCCAGTGTGAATGCCATGACACTTCTTTACAATTACTATATTCACATTTTGTGTATAGGTATTTCTGTAGATCTACAGATGCCCTTTACATCCAAAATGATTTGTTTAAAGTGAAGATAAGCTACTGCTGAAGCCTTTGCATGTGATAGCTGTTCTAGGTTTAGTGTTTGTGTCTCGTTGGAATAACAAGGGTTTGTTTGTTCTGTAGCCATTCCAGCCCACCCACATCTTGGTGGTTTGGCCCTTCCTCTTACTTGTTTGCTGGTGTGCCCATTGCTGACCTCATTCACCCATCTATTTGGAGTCATAAATACGTTTAACCTAATGTTTGGCCAGATCTCTGTTATGGCATCCTAGAAATAAATAAAAAAAAAACCCTCAACAACCAATAATTAATTACTTATTATAAAGCAAGACTTTTTCTTGCCTAATGTTCATCAAAATAGGTAATTTTTCATGCTGTCACAGTAAAAGATTGTTAGGTTTCACTTCTATTTTGGGCTTTGCCACATGCTTGCAAGTGCCTGTGTCATGTAACCTCCCAGTGCTTCTCTCTTACTTAGTTCAAAATTACCATCCTTCTAAGTGCTACTTTTTCAAATGTATGTAAAGTGCTTAAAGGTTCTCAGATGCGTAAGCAAATTATAATTAATTCTGTACTGCTTTTTTATGTCTAAAGTGCTAGGTACTTGTAGCTAAGATTTTCTGTGGTTTAGGATTGGTCTAATTCTGTCAGGCAGGGGAGATTTTATTGTTCACTTGAATAAGATCAGGGTTAACATAAACTTGTTTTGTTTTCTGAAAATTTGATCCCAGAGCTACATAGATTTATTTCAGGATATTTTCATATGAAAGTTGTATTCTCTACAGGGAGAAGTAGAGATAATTTTCATGCCAAAATGGAATCCAGCAGCATTCTATCTTACTTTTATGATGGAGACTTTTAATGGATTTTAAAAAAATACCAGCAGCGTTAATTCAACCCACACCAGCTATCATTGGTATCCGGTGCTGCTGCCTACGCCTATGTAGTCATTTACACTTCTGTCAGGTGGAAAAGAAGGCCAGCTGCATGCTACAGCTGGAAAAAGCAAAACCCACTGCAAGGTGTAACTTAGTGTGAAAACAAACTGGATAATGCATGAATTGCAAACGCAGACATTTTTCCCCAGAGACTCTGTTTTCTTTTGATCCGAACTTTCACGAACTTTAGGTCTTTAGGGCTGAAGTAGGCAGTTTCCCAAGCTGGATTGCTTTTGCTGTTTTAAAAAAATTCTTGGCCAAACAAAATTTGTTGTCCAGCATTTCTCCAAGGTTGGGTAAGTGCAGAAATGAAAGCAGGTGGAGAGGTAGAAGTCAAAACTCATGCCTGATAAAGGACTGCAGAGTATAATAGGGCAAAACATGAGGTTTTGGGGGGAAATTATGACAACGGAGAGAAATAGAGAAGTGTGAGGAGCTAGAGGAAAATATGCATATTAGCACAGATTTTGGAGGCAAGTGCTGGAATGTGTTAGTCATGTAAGAAGAAATAAAAAAAAAAAAAAAAAAGAGAAGTACAGACGTATGGGACGAGGTTGGTTACAGAATGTTTCCTGCCCAAATTTGCAGTTCAACATTGTAGCTCTGGGTCTGACTTCTGGCTTCAACTGCCCACAAATGGCTTGAGAAAGTCACTTTCAAATTGTGTATCTCAGTGCCTACGGCTGTCTTCATACGTTCAAATGGTGGAATTCTGTGCTGGGACTCTAAAGAGACAAAATCAGTAGACGGGACAACCGGGGTGATTAATTTTGTTCCATAGGATAGATGTGAGGTTTGCATGTGCGCATGTCTGTGCAGTCTTTAATGAGTCACGTGCTGTTTCCCTTAGCCCCTTAGTTTTAGGATGGTCTTCAGATGATTCATATGATGTAGGAAAGACTAGTATAGGGCACTTTCCTCTTCACAGAAATTAAAAGGTGTATATGTGGAATAGGCAGGAGACTCATAGAAGAGAGGGAATGGTCTCGTGGTTAGGAAAATTGGCAACCATGAGAACGGGATTCTATCCCTGCCTTTACCGATAAGTTCCTATTAAAGATGGCCAAATTGCTTTGACCAAAATTTTCCATTGGCCACTAAGTACTCATTTTTGGATTTTCTACAGTGGACCAGATTGGCAGACTGCTTTCCCAGCTGCAGTTTAAAGCCATTGATAGTGTGCTTTGGACATACAAAACCCTTTACAAATGCTAAGTAGTTAAGGAAAATCAGTACTCTCGTTTCTTAGATTAGGAACCCAAAATCCATGGAAACTTTTGCCATTTTTTGCCCATTATCTCCATGCCTAACTTTATCCTTATAAAATGGGCATGATAGGAGGGAAAAAGCCATTTCCCCTACAGTCAATTGCCCTTCTGAAGTCAATTAACATTTGTGAATTGCTTAGATAACTTTGCTGAAATCTCTAACATACTCCAGAGGAATTTATAGATGTTCCTTTTTACTATAGTGTTGAAGTGTCATACTAAATACTTAATTATTCTTTTATTACAGGAAGTATAAGTCCTGCAGGAAAAAAAAATAAAAATAATTGTGACATAAAAACCATATTCCAGGATATTCTCATGATGGACACAAATTAATTGCCCAGTGAAACTTTCTATTTAGGAAATGTTGATATTAAGTGCTTGATTTCACTATATGGATTTATTTTGGTTTGGGGAAGAAAAGAGGGGGAGAAAAGATGAAGGCTTTTATTAGATAAAATCTATTTAGAGAGTGAATTTCCTGTGGCCTAGGGTGATAAAAAATACTTGACAGGCAGATTCTGAGTATCTGGGGTTCCTGACCAAGAATATCATACCTAAATTTGTTCCCATTAAGATCACTAATATATCTCAGATTGCTTGTAGAAATGTTTGTGTTGTGTATTGCAACAAGTATTCAATATCCACAGTTCAGAGCTGCTCTGGGCCAATGGGATTGCAAAATATCTGCCAGCTTTGGCTGACAGCCTAGGGTTGCCACAGCAATTTTTCTCTTTAATGAGTAAAATAGGTGGTGTTTATAGAAAAATAACTGTCTCATGAGAAGCTGTGCAAAAAGTTCCATTCAAAACCATTCTGTTTATATATAGTTTTGTTGTTTGTTTTCTTTTCTTTTTACTTACTACTGTGGACATTTGCATGAAAACAGGATATTTCTCCTTCAAATTGCAGTCAGGGACAGAATAGCTACTATGCCAGAATGGAGCCAACCCACTTCAAAAAAGTAAACTATTTTTCTCGCCAAATCTGTTTCTTCTGTGTATGTAAAGTTTTGAGCACTTATTTTCCTACCTAAATTTAGGGGCTGTTTTTTGAGTTAGTTCTGTAAAGCCAACAAAACAATATGTATATAATAAAATGAGCATATGTTAGTGAAAAGATTAAATGAGCAAAAAACCAATAATATAAATTTATGTTTTAGTATTTACAGTGACAGACAGCAGGCATAAAAGTATTTTTATTACAGGTACTTTTTTTTTACACAGCATAGAAACAATGACAAATACTCAAGAGGGAGATAAATAGAAGAGCTGAGTCTTGTTTTGACTGATGGTGATCGACAGAATTAAGAAAGGCAGGCTTCTCTTAAGAATGTCTGTATTCTTTCTGATGGCCAAATTTTACTTTTCCAGTCTCAGGTTCCAGTCTCTACCAATTTAAGATACACTTTTACTGATGAGTGGCATATTTTTTTCTGATTCAGCATTGTTTTATAATGGCCTTAGGATTTACTTTAGGTGTCCAAGGCTGTATGAGTGTACATAAACACCCATATATTCCTATATGTATTTACATCACTTAACAGCTTAGTCCCTGGCTTCAGGTCCATCTGGGTGCACAGGCAAAGCTCTCAGCTGCCCAGATAGATAGCTCTGTGTCACTTATATCTCTGGCAGGAATAAGTAGGAGAGTGGGTGCGGCGCCGTGCCAAATCCTCAGCCCCTGTAGCCCTCATCCTAGCAATAATGAAGGCAGGAGCGTGAATCACTGAGCCTTCCAGCTGGAGCCGTCTTACAGCTGCTCTGCCCTGCGGAGGCTCACTCACCCTGGACTAGGAGGCTGCGGTGGCTTGTGGCTTAGAGCCTGCTCTTCCTGTTCCTCCCCCTCTCAGTCTAGTGTGGTTCTCTGAAAACTGATACCTATCTCTGTAAAACCCACTGGACGAAGCCGTCATCTGTTTGTACAACTGCAGGATTTATACTCACCATACTAATGAGTAAATATTCCCTCTCTGGTTAATAAATGGAACGGCGGGGTTTCGGCACAGGTGAGCATGTAAAAAGAAATTAAGAGTGGACAGGCTCCTGTCTGTACTGCACAGATCAAGTTTTCCGATATCAGGAGCGCCACTTCTTCCTAAAGTTACCTGCAAATCTTTCAGACAATCTTTTCTCATTTGAACAAATAAACATCCCACTGATCTTTTCTAATATAACCAGCCTGTATTTCACTCTGAGAACCCAATTAATTACTAGTCTCTCTACCTCTTTGGGGCCATACGAATTCGTGATTTACAAATAAAAATTACAAAAACTCTTTAAAATACACCTCGCAATTCTCCCTGCAGATGTAAACTGCTTCTTTTTTTGCCAGGCCACTTCACAGAGTCAGGGTCCGTTTGCTTAGGGCAAACACCAGTTGAACGTGACTGAACAATATCAGGACGCAAGCAGTGGAAGGAAACGTCAAGGGCTCTTTGGAGAAGTTTGTTGCGTTCATTCCTATTCTATAGCTGTTCCATATGTAGTTTACACTTGACAACTTTTTAGTTGCTTTTAGCTCGGGTAGCTAATAGTGCCTGTTCACGTTGTCCTATTTTTTTCATACTTGTAGTACTTGACACAGGATTGTAGCTAATGAAATGTTTACAAATTAATTTAGCATAAATGTGCCAGTTAGTTTCTTTGGTTATCTAGTGGCAATATTCAGTTCCCGCCTAGTCTGTTCAGTTCTGTTCCCACCTAGTTTGTTCAGCTTTGGCAAATTGTTACAGATTTTAGCAGCAGGCAGTTCATGGTAATTATATCATATAATACACTAAGTAAACATATGATAAATGAGCAAATGTAAACCAACCAAGAAACACAAACCTGGGGACTAATTGGGCCTGAAAATCTCGTGGATAAGCACAGCAGGTGAGCAAAGGAGTATGAGGAATAGGATAAGAATTTCTGGGGGCCTGACTGCCACAAATATGTCAATGGAGCTGAGTCAGCATGGGAAGAGTGCAGTAATTTGCTGTTGATTCAAAAGGCAGTAGCTCACTGCTACCCTTCTGGGTGATGTGGATGACATTTGCCGGAAATGCTGATGACTAACCTTCAAGAGCTCTGCAGAGTTGCCACTTCTGCCGCTCGTCAACCCATCCCTTGTGCTGCTGCATTCCAGGGACATTCCACTGGAAACAATAGCATGGCACAGCGCTGCTGGAATAGGCACCAGTCAGCATCAGACCAGCAGCCAAAAAATGTAAATGCCACCAGTCATCTTTTTCAAAGTTGCAGTTTAAGAATTCGTTTGCCTTTCTGAATCCAAAAATGTTGCTTTTGCTTTGCCTTTGTCAATATACATAGCAGATATATATTGTGCACACAAATTAATATTTAGCAGTCTAATTTCTATTTCTTTTGTGTAGGATTTCTCATATAAAATATTCTTTTGCTGTGCTATTCCTGCAGCATTTTGCCCACTACAAACCAGGCCTTTTTCTGCCTTTTTTCCTCCTATCTCTGTTAATGTTTTTCTGTATAGAAATAGATTTAGTTACTGTGTTGATTACTACTTTCCTGTTATCTCTCTTCCTGACCTCCAGCCTTTCTGTGTTTTTATTGCCAGCTCATGGATGCTATGACTGTAGGATCGTGCTAACTGACCCTTCTGGAGTTTTCACTTCTCCGTGCTTCCCCAGTGATTATCCCAACAGCCAAGCATGCAAGTGGATCATCCGAGCACCTCATGGATTCATCATACAGCTAACATTTATCGATTTTGACATTGAAGAAGCTCCGGGCTGCATTTATGATTCACTGACATTAGACAATGGAGAAAGTCCAATGAATCTTTGTGGCATCACTGCCAAAGGATTATCCTATAACTCTACCGGAAATGAAATGATTGTGTCATTTAAAAGTGACTTCAGTATCCAAAAGAAAGGTTTTAATGCCAGCTATGTACGAAGTAAGTAAACCCAAAGCATTTCATCCGTCTTATAGATGTTAGAAGGAAGGTCCTGTAAGGGTTAGAATGACACTTCCCAAAGGAATCAAGCCCTCTGTGAGAAGGGAAAAGATGGGGAGGCTGCAGAGTAAAACTACAGAGTTCTCTTGTATGTTTGTTTAACTAATTTATATTTCTTTCAATGAAAATGAATTATTTTATTCTGAGACATGACATCAAGTGTGTTAGAAAAATTTTTCACATGCAAAGATTTTAGGCCTAATAATGCCTCTCCCTGCAGATTTATGCTAGAGGATTTGGAGGCAGGACACCAGTCCTTCAGGTCAGCGTACCAGCAGAGGGACATAGAAATCTTAAGGAGAGCATGAGAGGGAATTCAGTTGAGCCGGAAATAAGGCCAGCCCGGACCTCTGGCCCAGTGAAATGCCCAACAGTGAGGAGGAGTTGTGCAGAAGGCAGAACTTCCCAGGGGTTCTTCCAGAGGGTAGAACAAACTCCCAGGGAGGAACTGGAATTGCAAAATGGCTACTTTTCCTTTCAGTTCCTTGACCTTTCTTTCCCTTCCTCAAATCATTAGAATGCTTGAATTTTAAAAGCTGAACAACTGTAAAAAGAAAAAGACACTCGTGCTTTTCCCCCTAGAAGATGAGGGTACAAATTACAGGTGACCGATGCTTGTTTTGTTGTTTAAAGCATTAATAAGAAGTTGCTCTCACCTGAGAGTAAAGGGCAGCGAGGTAACGGAGGGCATTAGGATGATCATTTACAGGCCCCATATGCTACCCACCATGCATTCCACTTCAGGGTTACAGTTTATAGTTGCATGCTCTCAGTAGGCTTTCTTTTTGTTGAAGTCACACACCAAATACTAGTATTGCATCAAGCATTTATATTATTGTAGCCCACTTACCTTCTGTTGGTTGACTGGCTGCTGTAGAAACACAGAGCAGGGAGGTTTGCAGTTATGTCTTCAGTCACAAGCACATCTTCCTCATGATTTTTTTTTAAAAAATATTTATTATACATATCATATATTTAAAAATAAGATAGTAACCCCCAGGAATTATAAGACAAAAGTAGTCCTGATTATTCCAGCAAAATTTGTGTGCAGTTCTGAAAACAAAAAAAAAAAAAGATAACATCATACCAGAAGAACTAAAAATACTTCTTTCTACTGAGGTCCTTTCATGCTGATGAAATGAATGTAGTAACAATTCTAGGAGCACCCATTCTCTTCTGAAAGTGAAGGCAAATTTTCTGAAATGTTTCTCTGTTTGAAAATAGCAGCTCTTGCTGTGTTGTAAGAAGCTGTAAAATCAAGTGGATCATAAAAAATTATATGCAATCAGATTATGCAAAATGATTTATTCTTTTATTCTTCTTTAATATTTTAATGTTTACGTATGACTATAAGTGATAAGATGACTTACAACTCAAATTGAAAGATGCAGTGTTGCCCTCAGGTCTGTTAAATGAGGAGGAGAGGAAAGGTCCACAGACGTAGTCAGAAAACTATTTGTGTATATGTACTTATAGGTACTGTATTTTTATGAAAACAAAAATATTTCCTCCATGCCAAATTGAATAGTACCTTACATTCATGGACAGCACTATTAAAGTTAAATAGTCTTGGAAGATATCCTTTCATTTTGAATAAGACAACTACTGCCCAGTGTGACTAAAGGTATTAGTGACCTTCACCAGTGACTCATATTTTAATGTTTCAAATATATATATTAGCTGAGAAACTCTATGCTAAAGCCTGCTGTTAAGCATCTAGACTAAGGCTGCTGAATTTTGTTTCATTAGTCCGAATCTGTAACTCTCACCTGATATCAGCCAGGAGAGCTGTCTGCATGCATCTAGGGCAGATTAAAACTATATTCTGCCCGTTGCCCACAGTTGTGCAATTACATTGAGTTCAGAAGATCATGGCAACATTTAACCTGGCAATGGCTACAGCAAAGGGGCTTGGTAAAGGGATGATAATATACTGCTTTCCTTGCAAGTTTTAAAAGCGTGTAGACGATGGGACATCAACGCACGCACACACTGAAATTAAGATGCATCTGCATGGCAGATACCAGTGCTACGCTCTCCTGTCCTTGCAAAGAGTTCCCAAAGCCATCGGAGAGATTGCACACCCCCTCACTTCAGGTACCCAGTGGAGTTTCAAAGCTCCTTTGTCAAGCTGACACGTTGTTAGTACTGCAGACATGATACCTGGGCAAAATCATTAATTTCTACCAGAGCAAGGGGAACAGTGTTGTAGTCATATTTTCTTTCATTTCTCAGAAATGATCGTATGTAAATAATAAAATTAAATAGTTTGTTCGATTTTGAACTTCACAAAGTAATGCAAAGTTGTAAAGGACCGTTCAAAGACACACAGCAATTTGCTATCTAGAAGTGGAATTTAAAAAGACATTAATATTATGTCCTAATATACAATACGTACACAAGACAAAATATATGTGGGGAAAGACAAGTGTAAGAGAGCAAGTGAATTTTGGGAGGGAATTAGCTGAGAATAGAACAGCTTTTATTTGTGACTGCTCGGTTTTATGTAAGAGCAGTTTCAAACTGAGTTTCACAGAGCACATCCTGTTATCCATAACAAGTTGGCCACCTGCCACAAACATTGGCTTTCCTGGTTGTCACCTCCTGCAACACACCAACAGCAGATGGATGGGCCATATCCTCAGCTGCAGTAAACAAATGCAGCTTTGCTACTCGTAGGGGAATTAGGTCAATTTGCATCAGGTGAAGATCTGGTGTGTTAAATAATTTTCTAGTAATAGTTAACTGCGTAAGTAATAGCTCCACTGGTGAGCAGAAGTCACTCAGTCGCCAAGAAGAGAGGAAGGAGAGCCAACAGACCTCTGTTAGCACAGAAATGCTTGAGATGGTGTCATGTAAAATTAGCACGCAGTTGAGTAGTACTGCAGTAGCCCACCTTAAAAGCACAATTCAGTGCTGTAGTAACAAAAAACCTCTCAAACAGGTATTTGGTATGTAGACTTTTGCAGCCCTCATTAAAGTGGATGCATTTCTTCCAGCATCAGTGAAAGAGCAGATGAAAGCCGGGAAGCTAGGAACAGCAGAAGCCACCACTCAAGCACTGAACCGTGCTGAAAAGCCCATCAACTGACAGGAAAGAGTTTTCCCTGCAAGGGATTGTAAAATACAATATAGAGAGTCCTGGCTTCCTTATAGGTGTATGAGATGTGAGAGAGTGGGCTGCAGGTAAGCTAGGGGCCCTGAAGAGCAGCACAGGCAGGCTTCGTGTCATCCCAACACTCCTGTAAAGGCAGATGTGGATCTCAGAACAGTGAGCTGCTGTTGCTGGTCACTCCTGCTGTGTCCGGGCTGCCAAGACTTTTGTATATTCTTCATGAGTAAATAGCAATGTGTCCAAAAAAACCCTTGTTCATGGTAATCTAGTTATCTTCCTAACAGAAACGATTTAACATCATTCTGAAAGTAGTCTAAACACTTGGATGAGTATTCCAACAATGTATGTGTATTCTTCCTCAGAGAAAAACCAGTTTCTTCAATACTAACATCTGAAATTCATCGATATGATGACTGGCTGTGCAACAGTAATCAGGAAAGAGATCTGCACTTAATGCTGATGGCAGGATTCAGTTTTCTCCACACGAACAAAAATACTTGTCAGTTTTGTCCTTTCAGGGAAAGATGCCAGTGGTTAAATCTGTCAGATGAGTATAGTAAAGTTGAGTAGACTTGTTTGGTACCAGAGCAGGATCCTCCCTGTTTATTTCTCTTCCTATACTGTTTAAATGTGACCAGGTGGTCCAGAACTCTCCTGACCACCCTAACACAGACTGGACAGTGCTCATATGAATGAGCTTTCTTCTTTTTCAAGTCGTCTTGAATCCTTATACTTCTTCTGGAACACTTTCCATGTTACGTAAAGAAGCTTACAGTATAATTAACCCACGAAAAAAATGCCCCTGTTTTCAATGGAGAGTTGAACACATTTTCTATCTATAAAATTGTTACAACATACTTTTGCCCTTGGGAAGAAAAAAAAATCTATGAAGTAAATCCAGTAACTATAAAAGCCCAGTATTTTTCTCTCTTCCCTCCCATTCTCCAGTTGCTGGGTTGGCAAATAAAGTGCAATGCTTTATGTTATTTTACTATGTAATATATTGGTCAAATTATGTCCTTGTGTATATCCAAATATGGTAGTTTGGAGCTGAGTCTTTGCAAGCAGCTGGCAAAGGGAAATTGCAATACCACTGACTCCACAGAATCCTTATACACCAGGTATCTGTCTTTTCCCGAGTGTGGCATGACAGTCACCCTTCCCTCACATCTCACCCTCTCATATTCAAAGGTTTTTATTTCATTCTGAGAAGGGAACAGGTGTACTAATTAATGTATGTGTTACGGCATCACTTAAAAATCCCAAGGGAGACTAGGGATTAACTGCTGTGGTAGTTATTCTTCAGGTCTCGCAACAAACGGTTTCACTTCCAGCATATACTCTGTGGAAATGTGTGAAAGAGGTAGCAGACATTTGCTGGAGTCTGCCACAGAACTGCGGAGCTAGAAGTAAAATTGAGGGCTGCTGCAATCTGGGCTTGTTGACTTTGATGCCTTTGCACGACTGACAACCTGAAACTTCTTTCTGTGGAGGAATTTACTAGAATGATTTTGCTGCCATAAGTATGCCAATAAAACTGAGCATATTGACACTTTATTTTGAAAAATAATGTGCTCCAAAGCGGAGTGAATTGTCATTAATATACCCATGGGGAAAAAGCATGTCATATGATACTGTTTTTCACATTTGGTGACTGCCATTTTGCCAGTGCAAATGAGAATACTTAATAATGATTAGAGACAGAGTAATTCTGCCCATGCCTAAATCCCTTACTGCGGTGCATATTTGCAAGAGGACTAGCCATTTCTAGATACTTGTGCAAAATCCAAAACTGCTGACCCAAATATTAGCAAAGAGTGAGCAGCTTGAATATATTCATAAACACACGATTGCAGTATTCAACCAGAAGGCTGCCGGGGACAAAATAAGAAGATGCCTAATGCTTTGCAGAAACCCACTAGCTGAATTCAGGAACAAAAGTCTTCAGTTTGCCACGGAATGTAATGGGGGCTTTCTTCTCTTGCGATAATTAAAAGAACCAAGGCCTGAACTTCATTGGTGTAATGCAGACAAGTAATTAAAATAATATATATTAAAAGCAAGTCATACTGTGTTTTTCAAATAGCTAGTTTATTCCATTGCCTAATGCACCCTTACTAGATGCATGAGTAGTGATTTTTATGAAGTGAACTGAGGCAGAGTTGGAAGTTAGTAGGCAATATGTCCAAATTGCTCTTAATGCAACTTGAGGGGTTCTTAACTGTGTGTAGCTCAGCAGTCTCCGTGCTGTTGAAAATGAACTCTGCATATTTTCAGCTGAGTGCACTCCTAAGCCAAATTCCCCTTCGTGTGTGCTGGTGTTATATTACAGTGATAAAAACCACCTGATGAATGAATGATTTAATGAATGTTACTTTAACCCCTGCTGCCTTTATTTCTATGTGATGATTTTGTTGTTGTTGTTGTTGCTAATTTATTTATCTGCTCTTGGTTCTAGTCGCTGTGTCTCTGAGGAATCAGAAAGTCATCATTCCCCAGGTTCCCGATGTCGACGCTGTGTCTGTGGCAGAGACGGTGTCAGTGCCAGAGCTTAGCCAGTTTACACTCTGCTTTGAAGCTACCAAGGGCAGCAGCGATGACAACGACGACTGGAAGGTTTTCTCCTACACCGATGCGCTGTCAACAGAATTCTTCAGCTTTGGGAAGACCACAAAAGGCCATTTTCTGTCCGTCTCAGGCACGCAGTGCATTCTGGAGAATGCATTGCCCCGAAATGCAGAGTTTTTCACGGGAACCTTTCAACAGCTCTGTGTCGTAGGGGATAGCTTCTCGGGCAGTATAGGTATATATGCCAAAAGCACCTATCATATAGTGTACTGTCCGGGTATCTTTGGCAAAGTTATCCCTGGAAACGGGAGGCTGGTGCTGGGCTCTAACAGCAATGAAGTGAGCTCTCTAAATGGGGACATTTACAACTTCCGCCTCTGGAATTTCACCATGAATGCGCAAACACTGGCCAACCTCAGCTGCGATGTGAAAGGAAACATTGTAGACTGGGAAAATGAATTCTGGAGTATTCCAACTTCAGCACTGAAAGCAGAAAACAATTTGAGTTGTGGTGAGTATGCCTTGCCAAATCTTTTTTGCTTTTTTTCCCTCCCCACTTCTGCATTGTGCTGAACAGATTATATACCAACATGGAAAAAAAAAAAAGAGTTCCTGTGAAAGAAAATAGCTAGGTCTTACCTTTCTTAGACTTCAGCTCAACTCTTACCGTACACAGAGGCTTTGAAAGGGTATAGAGTTGATTCCCTAAAGGAAAAGAACAAGTCCCCTAAGTATATTGAGTTGCTGCTTGAAATTATCTGCAGATCAAAGATTTTCCTACACCGTTTGTTTATTGGCCGCCTACTCACACTGAATGGGGATAACAGGCAAGTACCTGCTAGCCTCAAGTAAGATTACAGTGGTCTCTGGAGAAAAAAAAAGGGTGTTAACTAACCATTTAGTAAATGGTTTTATACCTGCGCTTTGGCCCTTTGAATAGCCAGAAGGAGCACTTACTAGCCTTGTGCTGTGTGTGCAGAGCCAGCAAAAGCAGTAACTAAACAACATTGCACATGAGACAGAAAAGTAGGAGAAAAGATTAAATTAGAGGAGGCAGACAGGAAGAAAGAGTTTTAGATCAAAATTACTGGGTTTTATCTTCCTGATGACATATTATCAGTCCTTTTAATTGGTAATTACTGAAGGTCGGTCTTCCTGTAGATTACTCCAGAAGATAAATTTTAGTACATTGTCCAACCTATTCTCATTTCATGGCTCAAACGAATCTCATAAGTGTCCAGGTGTAATTTTTATATATGAATGTGTTATTACAGCTGGTTGACAATTTTTGACTGGATCAGGTTTTTTCCAGACAAAAAAAAAAGAAAAAGCAAACCAAAAAAACCCCAAAAAAGCCTGAAAAATCTTTGTCACTTTGGATCATTTTTATTTTCTTTTAAAGAATGTTTTGGTTAGTAACAACTTTAGAGATATTTGGATAATTGTCAAATGCATAGGGGAAAATCTGAATTATGGCCAGCAGTAGCATGTACATGCACATATGATGCTTGTGAAAATCAACTGTTATCAAGCTCCATGTCAACAGAGTTTGAGCCCTCCTATTGTAGCAAATACACATTTAAAAACAAACAAACAAACAAAAACATCAAAGTAAATCATTACAAATATTGGTTCTTTCTCAACCATGTGGAGTATCTTCATATCTAATGTTGTCCTCTCCAATTTTGCCGTCTTGCTCCTCTGACACCCTACTACTTATTAGTTTAAACATAGTTTAAGTAGTGTCAATATAAGCATCTCCTGACAGAGCATCTGTTAGTGCTCTGAGAATCTTTAGCTTAAGGAGTGACGCCAGAAGCTGGTATCATTAAGGCATGATAGTTTCTGTATCTAATAGCTCATGAGGGATTAAGGTGGCTAAAAAACCCCATCTTTCTTGCTTTAGTTTAATCAAACCAAAACGTGAGGTACTCATTTGCAGCTAGACTCGCTGGGACAGCTCTTGGCATGCCTCTGCTAAAAAAAATTAAGCAACACCTCTATAAAAACAGGATCAACTAGGTGCCTTCACTTCTCTACCAGAACAAAGAAAAGGCTGATCTAAACATTGACCATGACTGATGAAGGCATTCTGGACAGAAAAGTTGCAGCTTTTGCATCAGCATGAACTGATCTGACAGAAAATAACTTCCCAGAAAATCTCATTGCTCTTACATGCTTATACCATGAAGACTACCACAACCTACCAAGGCCTCTGTAATGTTGCAGTCTCATTTAATTTTGACTGGAGTATGGGCTCTTGTCCTTCTTTCTGTTAAAGACTGTACAGTCCTGTGACACAAATGTAATATCACAGCTGTTGTCATAGAAACAATACACTTATTTTCATTCCACAACTTTATTCCTTGGGATGTCATTGTTCAGCAGTTCTGTTCTTTCAGCAGAACATTATTTTAGAAAACGTACACTAGCTTTTGTGTGTTAGGCCCAGATGTCTATCAAGCCACTTCAAGTGTATCTATGTATAAGCATTGTTACTTCCTCTAACTAAGCCTATGAGAAAACTAACTCACTAGTCAATCTTTTTCTTTCTAAAATGTTAGATCACCCCCTATGATATAGGCTTTCCTGAACCAGAGTATTTCCTAAAGAAAATACTGGGTGCATTGCCATTTCAAAAATGGTTACTAATCCCAGAGATGGAATTGTTAGAATTTTCTTCCTTTCATCTCCTTGAATAAAAGCCTTCATTGTAAAACCAGCCGTCAGCAGGAGAGTTGATGAGTCAGGCTATCGACCATGAATAAACCACTGACAGTGGAGAGATGACTCTGACTGATTAGGCTTCATTTAGCAGCGATGGAAGGATTTATGCAGAAAAGAGGTTTGTGCACAGCTCCAATAATGCTTCCCCAGGAAGCGGCATGTAACTTAAAAAAACCCAACAAACCAAGCATTTAGCAGTGATCTCAACATATCTGTTCTTGAACAGTGCTTACATTTTCAAGGGGTATTATTTTCATGGTTTTTCAGACAAAGCTTTTACAAGTAGATTTATGAAGCATAAAAACACTGGCAAATTGTTCCAGATAATCTTTTCATAGTTTTACCTTCTCCTAATTTATTCCTTAGACTAATGTTTTCACAGCTGTGCAATCATGGTGGGGTGTTTCTGGAAGACTTGACGGAATTCTGTTTTTATTGCCGTACCTTCACACGGCTTGCATTTAAAGGTATATGTACACAGCCTCAGTATCCAGACTAATTTTAAAATAAGTAGCCTAGGTAACGATAGCGGTGTAACACCACCAGTTCAGAGCTCAGTGCAGGCAAACTGAGGAGCATTTAATCAACTTCTGGTGCTGATTTTGGAGCCTGCACTGGCTACACCTATAGCAGGGTATGATCTACTCAGTTTAAGGGTAACGTGGCCGCATGTCTGTCCACGCTTGCAATTGCATTTCCTTTGTGTACACTTCGTACGAGTCCTTCATTCCCAAAGGCCAGAGGAATCCTTAACTTCGCTGTCAGATTGAACTCAGGGTGGGATCCGTCTGCCTTACGCAGCTGAATGATGTTTCAGGCTGAGCTCATTGCCCTCAGCGCTGTTTATTAATAGTGGAATGAAAAAGGCTGGTCCAAAGGTCAGCGCATCTCATACTGGAGAAGATGTCTCAGTGAAGTCAGAAGTTTTTTGCTGTAGGAGTGCCTGTTCCTCTCCACTGACTGTAAAGAAAGTCTGGTGTGACGAGCAGATATGGATGTCTGAGTGTTAGACATTTGAAGTGAGTGAGGTATATCACACAAAGTATCTGTAATACAGGTCCATGTGTGATGTTCACGTTACTGACCATGCCACTTGACTTCATAAAGTAGCTTATCTTTTTGCATCCAAATCATTATATTTTCTTTAGTGGACACTGAGGGAAAGTCTAGTCTGACCAGAATTCAACCCAATTAAAACTTAAAAGAGTTTATTGAATATATTCACTGAAAATACTCGTCTTTAAAGTATACAGTCTTCTGACTTAAGTGTGTTGTAAAGTTGGATTGGATTTTTTTTTTTAGTTTCACCAAATAAAATCATGATCTTTTTTTTAAATATTCACTGAAGAACATATGAAGGTCCACAGATTTTCCAAGCCAATTTTTAGGCAATCTTTCAATGATACAGTACCAAGAGGAGATAACTTACAGCAGATTTTGATATTGACTGTTTAATATGAGCAAATATATTGGGGGGGGGAGAGGAAAATCTCACGCAGGAGATAGTATGTTCACTTAGCATATCCTTTCTGGAGTTCATGGGAAGCGCACCAAGGAGGTGAATTTGACTGTATCTCTTAATCCATTTGAAAAAAAAAAATTAAATGCTGAGCTTTAATACTTGTTGAGGATCAAATGTTTTAAATTCTGCCTTGTACATGTAATGGTATCTGTGATGTGATGACTTCTGTATTGAGGCCCCATGCTTCATCTGTTCTTGCATCACAGGAAATATTTTCCTCGCTATCTTTACGAGCTGATGGGTGGTGGCTCTTTAATTTTATGGAAGGATACAATGTTTCATGAGAGAACCTCATTGAATCAATATGATTCTGAAGTGGTAAAGCAAAAGCCAAAAGGGCAAGGCCGATTATGCCATGCTCTATGGCCCCATTATTTTCAACACAGTGTGCAAAAGCAGCTGTATCTGCAGCTGAACTGCTGGGATACACAAAGTGTAATTAATGCAGTTTCACCAGTTCTTTTTCTGTAGCCACTCTTATATGCCCTGGTTTTGTCTCCAGATCATCAAAGCGTGTGCCTGTTGTTATGAATAATTCAGTAGAGGTACAAACTTATAACATTATCTGCTTATAAATCATGCATACCAGGATATTAATCATGGCCACACCCTGGGCAGAGGAACAGGTTTAATCACTTTTTCTCTGGTTGGTGTCTGTCACAGCCAGATTACTCAGAAGCGTGTGGTGGGTAACCTGTGCTACAGCAGCAGAGTGGCTACTTCTCCAAGGCGCGTGTTATTACTCATAAAGATTGCATAAATCCTACAGCCATCCTGACCCCTCTGCTGAAAGCTATTTCACAGAGTGCATGCAAGCTGCCTTCATTTAATGGGAAGTTGTTTAGCGAAAGCTAAGAAAACCAGAGGAGGAGATGTAAGTGACTGTAACTTGCAAGTCTGCGGGGTTTTCATGGATACCTCAGCAGCAACAGAAAATGAAAACACATAAGTCTTATAGGCAAATGGCGGTATCATTCTGCCACTGAGAGAAATTAAGAGGACCATGTCACTGCAAGATATAATATATTTAGAGACGTGGTAGTTTTATGCCCAGCAGCCAAAACTTTCTAATTATTGTACTTTCTTTTTCTAAAGGCTCATACCTAATTCCCTCTTCTGCAATTGAACCAACCAGTTGTGCAAACCTGGGAAGCCTTTGCCAAGGTAAGAAGACTAGGTCATTTTCACAGTTTCATCTTTGTTAAATCTTTATTGTCCTTAATTTTTTTTATTCCATTTCTTTTTTATTATTGTTTTTAAAAGGGTGAACTGTCATAAAAAATAGCAAAGAAAGGAATTCTTTAGTCTCATCAAGTGTGTAGGTGTCCTGTACATCCATTATATGGATTATCCCTTGATAATACATTTTCCAAATAGTCTCCATTATATTAAAACTGAATTAATCAATTGCTTTAATTTCTTTCTCCACCTCTTTTCCTCCTGTACATTTTGACAGTAAAATATTAACCAGGATAAGAAGCAGATATATCTGTAAATAAAAAATGAGCAGATGTAAATAAAGGAACTGACTATTATTCTTTTTTTTTTTTTTTCCCAATAAGCTGTTTTGAGGCTAGATACTTTGAGATTAGCAGGTAAAAAATTAACATCCAACTGCAAAATCCAGCAGTTAACAAAACACCTGTTACAGCACTTAGTCATGGTTTAATATTGTGAAAATCACCACATATATGAATTCATAAGGTCTCTTGAAAGGTCAGCTCAGTTGAATGCAAGGAATAGGTGAATCCTGAAGATTTCCATGCCATATGAATCACTGGACATGCAAGGACAGTTAATTCCTTCCGCTCTGCTTAGAGGCTGAAGTTCTATAAAAATGCTTGACATGAACAACATCAGCCCGTTTCCACAATACCTTTATGAACACAGACCTGCTAATGAGGTGGCATGCTATGTTAAACTTTAATTACAGCAGCAGCTGCACCAAAAGTAATGTCTAGGTGTGTAAGTAACCCTTTTCAAGATGAATGGTGGAGGATGGAGTCAGGGGAGAATAAAATATAGAAGGCGAGGAGGAAGTCTCAGAACTCTTTCAAAACTGACATTTACAAGTAAATCAGATTTAGCTTAAAAGTAAAAAGGAAAATGCACTCTGCTTGGGAAGCCAGTAAGATATTTCTGTCAGTCTTCAGTGTACTTCTTCCAGATTTTCCTGAGATAAATTTGGTTCAGGGTGTCGGAGTGTATCAAACTGGTCTGCACAGGGAAAGTGAAATGCCAGTTATGTCCATAGTCAGATTTCAAACAGTAATTTTCAGGCATCATATTCACAAAGCACAATATGATCTAAATACGACTACTGGAATACCTTAGGTAAATGTGACAGCAACAGTTATTCAGTATTAGCTTTTTTATATGTAAGGGGTAATACAGCCACCATACAAAGATCTTTGTCTATTCTCTTGGAAGAACTCTGAGAGTTTTCCTCTGTCAAAATGCCATGGTGTGAAAGGAGAGAGAATATCTTTCATTAGATCAGCTAATACGGCTCCAGAAATGGACACACTTTCAGCAAGACAAGCCTGCGTTTCTAAAAGCCTCATCCTTTCTTCCAGCTTTATTAACTTGTCTAGTAGAAGATACTGCCTCTAATAAAAGATGCTGCCTTTCAAACTTGCCTCTCTTAAATTCTTAGACCATCACATCTTCAATAAGCACTACGAGTACTTCCATGAAGATAATAGTCTTTCCTTCTCTGAAAAGTGTTTGGCACAATGTCACTGGTGTTCTGTGTCACTTTGGAAGTGGCAGATCAGATTTACCCTGTTCCTCGTCATCATCATTAGTATCATAATAGTGAAAATTATAAAAAGATGTCTGTCTGTCTGTCTATTTCTGTCAGCACTGCAGACATTTTAAACTGAGAGGCGAGTTTGGATTCTTTTTTTGTTTGTTTGTTGTGAGTTGTGCAATAGCACCAGTAACAAAGTTTGTGGATGCCAGATTATGTCAGCTGCAGTCTGATGAAAGAGCCGTTTTCTCCATTATGCTTAACAAATATTTTCATTCACTGGAAGATGTCTCCTTTAACAGTGTTGGCTGGAAGATGCAATCAGTAAGAAGCCTTAAAACTTGTCTCTCAGATAATACAGCCCTGAATTTACATGGAAGAAAAGGGTTTTTTTGTATTATAGGGTGTCACTTTATATATTCACTTTCCCAATTACAACCTGTTTGCTGCAGTCTCCAACTCTTCCTTCTTTTTCCCAAAGTTTCTTGTTTCACTGAAACCTGAACCTGCTCCCTAGGCGGAGACCCAACTTTGTGACTTTCAGACTCCAAACACTAAACAACCTCATACAAAATCGAAAGTGCAGTTTCTTGACTGAAATGCAATTGCTTAACCTTTCCAGGCTGGTTGTTGGTCAAAACCTGCAAAGGATGTGTAACACTGTGAGATTATACTGCACCAACCTTCATGTTTTAAAAAGCGCTTTCAGTAAAAAAAGAAATCTGTCAGTGAGTGGATTTGCATTCCCAGGGAGTTACTAGATAAAATTAAATTATTTTCCAAACTGAAAATTTAGTGACATATTTGAATTCCTCTAGCGTGTATACCCTCCCACTCCACTGTGGGGGAAATTTGCAGTTTTGGCTCCTCACTCTGAATTTGAGAAGTATTCTAGCTGGTTCTCCTGGGAAACATTTGCCAGGGTTGTGTGGGATGACTCCTGATAGTGTCAGTGGGAACAGTACAGCTGAGATCCTACATGAAGTTTTCAAAATATATTTTCTACTCCAATTGTTTCAAGTCTGATTTTAATTCTCTTCATTGTATGGACTTCAATGGAATTAATTGGATCCTTACATGGGCATTTTAGTTTCACATTTGTTCATCGTCTTCAATCCCTGAGTAGGGACATCTATTGTTTTCACAAGCAATATTCTAAATGCATGCATCTTAGACCTTATGAAATCTATTTTCTGGTCTTTGCACAGCTGTTTGGATCTGAAGCTCTCATAAGAGGCTTTTGAGTTTATGAAAGCAGTACAGGACTGATCTTGCAACCCTTACACTGGCAAAACTCCCACTGAAGTCAGTGAAAGTGAAGATTGCAGGATTGGGACCTCAGTTCATATCCATTCATCACTTTGTGCAGAAAAAGTAATGTGTTTATTTAACATTTATGGCATTGTGTGTAGATGGTTTCATTTTACATTGTCATGCGTTGTTCCCATTTTGTCTTACCTCATTAACATTCATATTTCATTCAAGTTCACCTCTTTCTCATCTTTATTACCAGCTACTGTAAATGCTACTACTCCTACACCACCCACTGTCACCACTAACATGCCCGATACTAATAGAAACGATAAGCCAAACAATGGTAAGAAATCCTGTGTTACATTTTTCCTTGTACTGTGTCTAGAGCAAATTTATTGTATTTTAAGGTGTATTTTTCATAGTATCATAATGTCAAGGATCATGTCTCAGTTCTGATCTCATTTACACTGAAATAAATCAGGAGTAACTTCACTGGACCATGTAAGAATGGTGTAAATGAGAACAGAACCAAACTTGGTGTTTATTTGTATCACCTTCACCTGGCTCTTGTGCGAAAGGGACTCACTTTGTGTCACCCATTGTATTTACCCATGCAAAGAACGAGGCAAGGGAGAGGGATTGTTTTAAAAAGGGTCTGAAAAGAACCATGCTATTGAAATGTTTTAAGGCTGCAGATTGTGAGGCACTGCGTAGCTCCTGCTGGTGCAGCCAGGGTGGTAGTATGCTGGGATTGTCTGTTCCTCACTAGTCAGGTGCAGGAGCCAAGTGGAATCGTTCCTATGGAGCAAAGCCACTTCCACTGAGTCAACAGGAATCTTTCCACTGACTTCAAGATGAGCTGGATCAGACTTTACTAGGGAAAATGTTGACAGTATCAGATATCGTTTACTTTTCATTTAGAAAGATTAAGGGAAAAAATAAGCTAGTAAATGAACCTATTATTAGCACAGGGAAAAAGCGGGGATTTCTTCTGAGGTTTTTTCAAATTCTATGATATCACTATCTCCTAGAGGCTGAGCATCATTTTGTGAGGTGCTGCTAAAATATTTGCTAGTTGGTTAAAGATAGTTGTTAAACATTATTAATATCACAGAGATAGATTTCTGCCATTTTCATCTGAGGCTTAAAGATATTTTTTGTAAAACTTTTTTATTTTTTCAGTGTGCTCCCCAGAAAGAAATTAGAATCTGGGTTTGGTTTTCCCCCCCCCCCTTTTTTTTTTTTTTTTCTTCAAATGCATCAGTTGTTACTGTAGGATTTAAAATTCTTGGAGTATTTTTTCTCTTGGCAGATCATTTCTTGTACGTTGTCAATCAGGCAGCACAGTAGACAATGTGAAAGAATTTATCTGAATTCAGCCTATTTGGATTTACTAAGCTGTAGAAGTAAGAAGAAAATGTTGAAAATTTCTTCCAAACTGTGCTTTTTTGGTTTTGTGGAGCCACTCACTCTATCTTCACTATGAACAGTTAACTTCTTTGATTTTTGTAACTACAGAAGGAATTGAATGCTTTATTAATATTAGTATGAATAAAACCTGGACAATTAAGTCCTTTCTTTGGCTTTGAAACTCCCAAAAGAAAGTAGAAAGACTAAGAAAAATAAGCCAAATTCATTTACAGTAGAAGCAAATTAAACTTTCACTCAGCTAACTGGCATCAATTTTGGTAAAATGGTTTTTAGACCAAGAGCAGACAGCCAAGAACAGACAGTTAAGGTGCATTATTTTCTTTAATCCATTAACTATGTGGCTTACTACACACAGACCTGCAGGAATTCAGACTTCCTGCTACGGTTATCTTCAGAATGAAGAGAAATTCACCTGAATCTTCCCATTCACGACCACAGAGGCAGCAAGAGTCTAAGATAGAAGGGGTCAAAACCATAGGAATTATCTCAACCCCAATTATTTGGCCAGTGAAACAAAGGCCTCTCCGTTTCAGTAAAAACTCAGCAGATGAGAACCGAGAGAGAAAAAACACGTACAGCTTGTTTCTTCCAACGGTGTCCACATCAGCTGCTCCTGAGGAGACCAGCAACCATACTTTGGCTGCTTTTACAGAAAAAAGTGACCTACGTAATACTGTGATGAATCAGTTACCAAATGAAAATATTTTGAATGGTTCTAGAAGCTCATTTCATGGCACTCCTGATGCAGCAGATGCTGTTACAGAGCCTTCTGTGAAAGCAGCCGTTCCTCTTCTTCAAAGCAGAAACCCTAACGGAGAGCTAGCGCTGGCTCTGGCAGGTGGGCTAGATCATTCTGACTCTGAGTCAGCGTTCCGCTCGCTCATTAGCAGCAGCGCTGCTTACGAACACACGAAAGAAACCATGTGGATTTTGTCCTCGAACAGCATTGGACATTTGTCCTCCAATTTTATGCCTATAAGCAACGCCTTGGAGCCTGTGAGTTGGTGGAGTGAGACTGTATTTCATCATCACATCACCTCTGACATTCAAGAAGACAGACATCATTCTCTTTCTAGCTTACCTATATCACCTACAGAGGAGAAATCATCATTCAAAAAAAGTAGGCTAGATTTGCTGGACTTTGCACCTGAAAATTTTTACCTGGAAATGATAGAAGGCAATGCAGATAGGAGAACTTTTTCTACGTTAGCAGCAAACAGTGAATTTCATTTTAGAAAATCTATGCACATTAAGGAACATCATTCAGGAGGCATTACAAATTTAACCTCTGTGGAGACTCCATGTGCAAACCCAACAACTTTTTTTCAAAACATGAAAAAAACATACACAAAATTTATGCCTCACATCCAACTGACAGATTCAGTCCTAGGACACAGTAGAGAGCTACTAGCATTTTCAGCGCTTCTGGTAGGAACAGGCTGGACAAGCTCAGCATTTAAGCATGTTGTAACTACTCTGCCTGTTTATCAACCGTTGTTGACTAACATATATTTGGAAAGTGACAGCATATTTATATCTAATAGCAATTACTGGTCTCACTATTTAAAAAATTCAGTATATTTTCAAAAGCCAAGTGAGAGCCTCAGAAACGGACTACTGGAGAACAATTTAGATGCATTTCATAATAGTAATGAAAGTGAAGAGTCAGCTTTTTCCATATTAGAGCCAGAGAACATGAATAGAGTTGGCAACTCCTGGGACTCAGGTTACTTGGATTTTCCAACAAAATATGTAGATATTTCCCCTTCTCTAACACCAAGATTCTGGACAGTTTCCTATCATTTGAAAGAAGCATCTCCAGTGCTTTCTGGGGAGCCATCAGAAAAATGGTGGTTCTCATTTAATGAACTGCTTTCTTCCCCAACAGAGAGATTGCCGTCCATTAGTTCATCTGCTAAGTCTGACAGTATCTCTGAACAAACATCTGCCATTAGATTATTAGGTCACAGGGCTGAAGAAACGAACTTCCCTAGTCATGCATCAGCTTTGGAAACACAAATCTTTAGTTCATTTATTCCAGGCCTTTCAAAGAGAATTTCAGAAAGTAATGACACCATAATATTGCAGTGGCAGTCAACAATGAACTTTGAAAACCTAACCATGTCTTCCAACAGCAAATCGTATTTTGATTTTCCTTTCCCTTCCCCGGAAGCTCCTTTGAGTCAACCCTCTGTACGGGTACAGGTAAGTCCCTTTGATAAGGTACTTGAAAACTCCACAGAAAAATTAATGATATTTGATAGTTTGCCCATACAAATTGGAACTGACATAGTGAGTAATCAATCCTACACAATAGGCAGCAGCTTGTTTCTGTCCTTCCAACACATTCAGGAAGCCAGCCTTCATGTTCAAGGCATAGCCAATCTGCTTTCTTGATCAATACACCAGTTAAGAATTTGGTAAACAGTACAAGAACACATGGATCACTACAGTCTCAAAGTCTTTCAGCAAATGATGCTGTAACAAATACTACTGATAAAGCAAGAAGTAAAGTTCAGCTAGATGCAGGTGTTTTTTTTAAAAACCTCAGTTTGATGAGTTCTGCCTTCCTTCCAATGACACTGTCTTTGGAATTAAGGAACCTTCTTCATTCAGACTCAAAATTCAGAGTCAGTGCACCTCCTAACAGCTACTCCACACCTCCGCTCCCGCAAAGTTTTTGGAATCATCTTGATACAGTTTCTCCAAGCCTGATCCCTCAGTGGGATGTAGCAGAGTTAAGCTTGCCAACAACAGTAGCACTGAGAAGTCATCAAGTTGTTTTAGGACACAACTCCATTGAAAATCAAGGGGACAGTCTGAGATACTCTCTGTGGGCAGTAGAACAAGAAATCATTGGTGATAATGAAGACATAAGGAATTCTGCTGTTCTGACATCAACAAACATATTGAGGCTTTCCAAATGGGATTCGGAAGGGGAGGTGTATGGATCCTTTAGCAAGGACAGAGAAGGAGTGCCTTCTCTGAATATTGCTAGTACTCACGCCTTGGATTTTGAAAATGCTGATTATGGACATTTTGCAAACCTCTCTTCTATTTTGGCGTCATCAAGAACTGCAGTAATGAATGATGTGATACCTTTGCCATCTTCATACAGTGGAGTTATTATTCAGCACAAAGAGACGATCTTGAAGGACAGTCTGATGACACTTGCAGCCACAATCCATCACTCCTTCCTGCAGTCCCAAATGCCAGTTTCTTCTGTAATGTACCATCAGTCATCAGTTTCGGCACATGTTCATTCCTTGGCCAATTTACCATCTGGGACAAGCCAAAATACCACCCCTTACCCACCACTGAATCAACTTACTAGCTCTCCTGCAGTCTTTTTATCTTGTTTATGTTACTCCACTGCCCTGGGCTGCCTGTGTCGACCTGAGGTCAACTACAGTATGTCAAGCTGCTAAGTTACATATAGAAAAAAAACAGATCGTCTTATCTATTAGATATTCACTTGGTAGACTGAACATAGAAGTAGCTGGCTTTCATCCTTTAGATATAGCTCCATTTAGCATATGAAAAGATTTTGGAATAGTAATTTAACTCTAGTAGAAGGGAATTTGTAACATCATAGTGATAGTAAATGTCATTAACACGTGATTTCTAATTTTTGTGTACTTCTCTAAGACAGCTCTCATGGGACTGTGAGGATAATATATTGGGTTGCCATGTATTTTGTGTATTTTTATGACATTTTATTGTTACAGATTTTATGAATGTTTTTCACTTACAATCTTAATATATTTTAAGGATTTAACTTTCAAAAAGCAAAGATTTTCTAAAAGAAACTTTTGGATAATTTGCCCAACAGAATTAAAATCAAACAATCCTGGTATTTAATTGATCATTATATTTTTGTAGTTGGTGGTGGGTGTGGGGAGAATTGTTTTTCCAGGTTCTTTTTTTCCTCCTTTTTCAAATTATCTTTGGCTACTTTTCATCAATTTTCTGCCCATAAAAATATTTATTTTTCATTCAGCATTTTGAGGTGGGATTTCCACTGTTTAATTTGGAGAGTGAGAAATCCTTTTTAGTTTTCACTAGCTGCCACTGCAGTCTCCTGAGAGTGCTTTAAAATGTAGATTAGTTCTTTGTTCTCGTTCTTTTTTCACCTCATTAAAACATGCTTTGGGTCACCATCTGGTGGAGATCTTGAAGCTGTTGAATAGTTTGTAGTTACTGTGTTCGATTTTAAAAATACTTTGCATATTCCTATATTAAGGTGATTTTGTCCATATACATAATGATATAAATAAGGTTATAATTATATATATGATTATACATGAATGTGTGAGAATATATATAATGCACACTTTCTGTATGTTTGTATCTGTATAGCACATATAAAAGGTACATTATACATATAAAATTGAAAATATGTATATACAGAGATATATACATACAAATGAGATCCAGGTCTTGCAAGTGTTTTCAGCTTGCTCAAAGTCCAAGTTTCTACTTCCAAAGACTTATTTTTTCTCTTTTTTATTTGAAACTATCACAGTAATAATAACAAACTAAAATACTTTTTCAGATCAAAGTGCATACCAAATTTGTGCATCTGGTGAGTTATGGGAGGGAAAAAAACCCAATAAATTAAAAGGGAAGCAAGTTTATTTTACTCATATCTAAAATTTAATCATAGCTTACCAAAGAAGGTAACTGGTAAACCATCTTCTTGCAAGAAATTGATTCTTTAGTATTTTATCACAGAGGAATTTTCATACTAATCTCAGTGATCACATGGTCAATTCCATAATGAAAAGAGAGAACAATACTCAAGCCAGCTCATGAATAGGATAGTAACCAATATGCACAATTAAACTGGGAAATATTGACTTCGCATTTTTTTCCGGATGCTTTTATTCAAGCTCTTGTAAAATGATTATCTATGAGTTGTAAAATGATGACATTTGCTCCACCTAGAATAAAAGGTCTTTTATTTAGACTCAAAAAGATAGAGCAGTTCCTTTACAAGCCAGAGACAGAAGGGGAGTTCTGTATAATTGTTGTCATGTCCTGTTCTGTCCTATGTAGTGTCTCTGTAAGATTTCCATAAGATTTATATAAATACATGTATCTGTGACCGAGACCCACAACTTCATTTGGTAACAGCCCTGAACCAAGCCATGCCACATGTGCACATACATGCAACTGAATTGATCCAAAAGCTCTTAAACCTCCCCCGCATCCTGGGAAATTTTATCCAACTAGAGCATACAGAATTTTTAGTAGCTTAATGAAAAAAATTTGACTTGTGAAAGTATAGACTTTTAACACAGAGGATAACTATGAAATGCTTTGATGTTATTTATTAGATGTGAAATCTTGTAATGCTGCCTACCAACATGAGCTTAAAGAGAATTTATATTTATCCAGTGCCATTTCAAAGTAATTTTACTGAATATAAAATTGCTCCAAGCCAAGCGTTACACATTTTGTGACTGAAAGATGGTTTGTTCAGCTGCCAGTTTTGTAAAGCTGCTGTGGGTTCTTCTACTATCTGGCTATTTCCAGGCCCGAGAGCAGACTGTGCTGTGAAAACGAGACCTGGATATCCCTTCTCCTACCTAATTCTGTCCTCAGCTATCTTGTTGCTTTCAATTTATGAGCCTTATCCGCTCTCACAAAGTTTTAAGTCTAATCTGCAGTGGTTGAATTCTGGACTATAACAATACAACTGAGAGCAGAATTTATCCATGTTACAGACTTCAGTAATTATGATTATTTTTTAAATTAATGACATTTTCATGATCTTGCTTTTACACACCACATTAAAGGCATATGCAAAATACTATTTCTATGGACATTGTTTGTGAGTTTCCATGTTGCATTTCAAGTGTCTCTAAAAATATGGAGGGGGAGGGAATTCTTGTCTAATTTGACAGGACTAGTGAGAATGGGCCCAAACCTGCAGTGCTTGTTCACTCCAAACTTGTGTAATGCCAACAAGACCTTGAGGTGTCCTTGTATCTGGGGTTCAGCCAAATCTTCATATTCATCATGAAGAATGATGAAAGAAACTAAAGTCTTTTTATTCAAAAGGTAAATTTGCTCAGCTTCTCACATTATAATGCTTTTTTTTAATGGACAGGTGGGCTATTCTACAGGATATCTATAACTGTCTTTAGTTCCACCTCCAACTCGGTGTCGAAAGTACATGATGTGGTTGCAGAATGGGTAAGTTAAGTTTTCTTTCCTGTGTGATTACATATATGAATCTGCCCCATTGATGTTATCAATCTGAAAAGGGGAAAAAAAATAATACAGATATTCTGTCCTTTTCAACAGTTCACATAGTGGCACTCACACAATCTGTAAGCAGTCTTTATACCAACTACTTACATGAAAATATGATGTCATAAATATATGGCAATTATTCTTTATTTTTCTTTTAATAAACCTTGAGGCTTTCAGCTTTCAGAAGCGAAGGAAACCACATATACTCATCTACAGCCAGAAACACGGCCATCCACACCTGCCAGGGTTGTTCTCTTTGCAGCAGTAGCCAGGCGGAGTACGTAGGTGCCTGCGCCAAAGAATCTAGAAAGGCGTCACTTGGCCCTAGCAGACTATGCAAAAGTGTTCCCCAAGGGGCAAACTGAGCAGCCATTGCCTGCTCAGAATACATAGTACAAAGGCCTGAAAAAAAGATCATCATAAGGTTGTAGACTTTTAGGTGAAAATTGACCCTGTTGTTTTGTCTGTAAATCTTTTCTAATCAAAGTGTTTCTGAGAATTTAAGATGAGGAAGAGAGGGAGAGAATGAGAAGTTCAGCATCCTGTGCACTCACCTTTTCACTGTGTCATGACCTTATAGAGATTTCCTTCTGTCAGTAGAAAAGCCCACATCTCTCACTACCAGTTGTACATCTAATATAACAATCCTCACTAAAATGGGAGAGTGTTCTCTTTACTTTGAAAAACTGAAGGAGATTTCTCAAGGGGGAGTAGGGTGAAACTCTAACTCTGCCTTAAGCCACAAAGAGCCCCATTAACATCTCACCATTCATGTGATCAATGTCTTCCTGTCTTTCAGCTTAACCGTACTTTCCAGAACTGGAATTACACTGTGTATGTGGTCAATATCAGGTAAATGAAGGGGGAAGATGTTTATCCTATATTCTTTTTGAGAATTAGCGCACCCTAATTAATGTTTATTTCTTTTATAGCATTCACCCTGGCTCCATAAAAGAGGGAGTAAGAGAAAAAAGAAGTATTAAAAGGTAACGTTTTAAAAGATATTTTCTTGATAGAGGCAACGGCTGCTATTACAAGTGGCTTTACAACAGGCTTTATTGTCTGTTATTGGATTCATTGTCTATTATTGGGCATATGCTGCCAGTCTGTAAATATATGACTGCTGGCGAGCTGAGTGCTCTGGATGTGCTCAGAAACCTCATACTGGTTATTGTGTTTGTTTTGGTTTAAACCTACTGAGCTTTAAACCTTAACAGATCATTTTTTTCAGAGCTCAGGTTTCATCTGTCACAAAACTGAATAGACATACCATATATATGTGGTATGGAGTACCCAGCTTTCTTTAGCACCAGGCTTTGGTACACTGGTATCTATCCACTGTCACTGCATTTATTCTCTTGAACCAGAGCCTTTTGAGTTAACAGACATCTTACTAGATGCAAAACACTGAATAATCATGCTAGAATTGAACGCCAAACTAGTGTGAGTTAAACTATTTACCATATGCTCTCATTTCCTGACTTCTGCTGGGCTCAGAGGCACTGGAGTTGGGATGGCCTCAAACGCAGCAATAAAGTTAGATAGGTCACACCCCCTGAAAATTGAGCCTCGGGGGATTTCTTTGAAAGCAGCAGGCTGATTTCTGAGGGATATATGGGGAGGGAGTGAATCTTAGGACCAAATTAAGGAGAGGAAACCAAAACATAATTAGTCTTGTGAGGAATGGGCAACAAGTGGGTATAGGATGTATCTTTTTGCAGTGCAGGCAAAAGTCCTGTAGGAAAGGACTTTAACTGCTGACTCCTGAGAACTTCCATGATAACAGCTGGGCTTTTTAATTTCTAAGACAGCCCAGTATTCCCAATTTACCATCAGGAAGTAGTTACTGATGCTTCCAGTTTTCTACAGAGTTTACCTAGATGTGAAGAGATTTGTAAAAGGTACTATCTCCTTCCCACACACCCACAGCAGAAAGACAGCTTTTATTGGCAAAACCATTTAACTGGTATAGTGTAAATTCAGTCTCTGAATGGGCTATTTTGCTGCTTGACCTACATTTACAGTAGGGTGTAGTGATGTGGGTGGGATTTTTTTTTCACACTTCCAAATGATACGGTTATGCCAGCAAAACCTTTTAAGTGGAGACCATGCCTCAGGTCTTACCAACAATCCAAGACTGCTGAGGAGTGTAAAGCTTTTCTCCATCCTTATTCCTGCATCTTTTATGAGACTAGCAGCCCAGCTTGTCAGCATCTGTTCTCCCCTAGACTGCACACATGATTTCTTCTCATTTTATCTTCCTGCCATCCTGTCCTCTGGATTTTGTTTCCTTTCCCTTTCCCTTTCCCTTTCCCTTTCCCTTTCCCTTTCCCTTTCCCTTTCCCTTTCCCTTTTCCTTTCCCTTTCTTTTCCCTCCCTTTCTGACATACAGTGAATATGGCACTAAATTACTTCTAATAATGTATCATTGTTACAGGGAAGTAACCTCATCCCTATTTACTTTGCTCATCATATGTAATTTCAGAGACAATGGAATTACATGTTCGTAATATGACATACAGTTTTTCAAGGTAGGCCTGGTCTAATGAGCAACTGGTCTTCTCATGGGCTCTAGTGCACTTTGTGTCGAGGCCAAATGGTATTTTGTCATCATTCTGAATAATTTAGTATAAATGCTAATCATGTCACACAAAATGTTACTGTTCTCCAAATAATCAGGATTGTTATGCTGTGCATGATTTCTTAGAAAAGGAAAAAAAAAAAAAAGAGAGAAGTCAAGATCCTGCCCAACCTAGCAACCCAGTAGGGGTAACACAGGGATAATTAAAAATGTAATTGAGCTACATGATATGTGATTAACAAAAACTACACTATTTACACATTGTATATGCACATATACATATGTAGAAATATATATACACAGCATTTTTTGCTGTTTTTTCATGTATTTTTTTTGCATATATTTTCATGCATTGTTTACCTCTTACAAGAGAAACATTTGGGAAAAGTTGGCGTTCTCCCACCTTTAGGTCTTCTGAGTATGTCTATCATTGTACATTGCTTCCCTTCTGAAACAAAAGAAGGATCACCTTCCCAGTAGTCTTCAGTGTTCCTGGGTTTAGTCACGAGGTTTCCAGTTCTTTGAGGTTCACACAGCTGTTTCTAGATTTTGCAAGGAAGAAATCTGTTGAATTTCTGAAGATCCAGAAAGCTTTTTTCTACTACTTCCTGATCACTGATTTTAAGATACTTTGTTAGGTTTTCCACTTTCTTGGATCTGTCCTGGGTGAGATTCTAAGGAAATCCTACAAAACACCTGAGTAATGTTTTGTGGTGTAAAAACTGAGCATGTTACAGGTTGGAAGTTTTTAATCCCTGATGGAAGTAACGTTAATTTCTCATTACTCAGGTGATGCACTGAAATATTATGGCAGAGTTCTTGTATGTAACTTGCTCACAGTGTGATTTCATACAGTTTCTATTAATTAAATAATCCTATAAATTATTCCTGTGAATAGTTGTCCAAAGATTTTCTTATTTCTCCATTTTGGATAGCCAAGAATAAATCTGTTGCAGATTCAGACATTCCATTATTTCCCTTAGTCTGTAAGTACTTTGTATTCCATTTACCTTCATGTTCATCTGAACAGAATTTCACTTCACAGTTAAAATTTAAGACCTAACTCCTAAGTATCATGGCCTTAACTTTATCTTTTACAGAACAGAACATATTAGAACATACTCTAGCTCACTAAACTTTATGTCTCTTTTTCTAAATTTTCCACAAGATCATAGCCGTCTGGTTTCTAAGGCACTATCATAATTCTTTAAATTGCTCTTTGAGAAGTTTTCCCTCTCTTTATGTCAGATCATATTCTTATCATTCAGATCACATCTTTTTTCCTTACCTTTTGGGTTAGTATTTTATGAAACAGTTTAAAAAGCCCCAAACAACAAAACAAAACAAACCCAAAACCTTTCCCAACCTTTTGTATGCATTTTGCTTTGCTTGAAGCCTTATTTACCACACTGCTACCTTATCAAGGAACTTCTGTTATCAGTCTCCCCACCTAGTCTTCTTGCAAGTGAAAGAGGAAAAATCATTAGAGAGAGAATGATTCAGAGAAGAAATAGAAGCTGGAAGTGGGAGGTAGGAAGCTGGCTTTTTTTGGCATGTTAAAAATAGGTGTTTTCCAAATAAATATTTTAAACTGTACTGCATTCTGGAGAAGAGCAAAACAAAACAAAAATATGGAAGTGGATTGTTATTCTTTCATTGCTGCGTTCTGTGAGCTGCAGAAATCCAAAGTACACTGTGCTTGTTATGTGTTTACGTACATGGTGATGAGAGACAAACAGAGTGCCAAGTCCAAAAGTGCATATGATTATCAGCACCTTTAATACTGTGAGATCTCTGGGTGACAGCAGTATATCAAGCTAATACTTTGGTAGATTATTAACTATTTTAATAGACAGAATTTTATCACAGCTGTACTCAACTTTGTGTCTGTGTTTAATTTTTTCCTCTGGTTGTACTGTTTCCATCTCTTAAGGAGAGGGCTGCTGTTCAAAATAAAGTAGACAGGAGTTTGGAATGGGCTACGGACATAGCTGTTTCTTTGTCCCCCATTATTTTGCATAGAACTTTGAAATTTAAGCCAACTTGTGTTCTTTATGTAGATAAATTATAAATGTGTTTCTTTTGTTTATTCTTTGCCTTTTGTGACACCGCAGCACTGTTGTAACTTTCTGTGACTGCTGCTGCTGCTTTTCTCAGAAGGGTCCTACTGATCCTAGGTCTTGTTGGACAACTACTGTTGGGCTGCCTCAGTAGGGGAATTAAGCAGTCCAGCTCCCCTGCTTCTCCTTTCTTCTTTTCTTTTGCAAGCAATTCTGAGAATTCAGGACCCAATTCATTTATAACCTTTTCTCCACTTAACATACAAATAAGATTATGCTTGCTCCAAATTCCACTGCTTGATTGTCATAATTTTGGCCTATTTCCTGCGTTCAATTGCTTCTACTATGTGAAACAACATTAATGTTAGTACTGTTAAACAACTCATCCAAATTAAAAACCGCAGTGGTAGCAATCTGTGTAAAGACCACTAAACTTAAACAGAAATCCCTTCTCTTGGGAATGAAAATAGAGAGGAAAGCAGGAAACCAGAGCTGCCCATGCCTAGTCCTGGTTTTTGAAGTCCGTGGGAGTTATGCCACCAGTGTCAGTGAGGCAGATTCAGGCTTCTACATGCTGTGTTCTTGGGTGCTGTGTTGCTTAATGGAAGGCTTAATGCACTTGGATAAAACTTAAGCTAATTAGATTGTGTAATAGACAGGAGTTAGAAACATCAGAGCAGCATAATTTTGTTTTTATAGTCCAAAGTATCTTTACTGAATAAAGTATAGGCTTTTGCATTCTTTGTAGATTACTTCAAATTAATCATTGCAAAATAATAATGCTATTCTTTTTATAAATGAACATACCAGTGACACCTATGCCTATTTTAAAGATTTTCCTGGTCTCTACTGGTGCTGTTCCAGGAACAACTTGAACCTGGCCCACCTCTACTCCCCCCGACTTCAACTTCAGTGTTACAGAAGGCTGTAAGGGACAGCCGTGACCAGTGCTGAGCAACATTTTAAAATGCCACATAATGTGTACATTGTGCGTAATATTTCTGCTTGAAAAACTGGCCAAAAAAGAGCCAAGGAGAAGTCCTCAGGTTTCTCCACAGTCCCCTGCTGGCATCTTGTGTCTATGACCTGTAGAGAAAGCCTTCATCACAGATGGAGGAATTTGGGAATTCCTCCTGAGAGACTGAAGGAAGATCCCTTCCTTAGCCTCCTGTTGAAGCTGCCCACTCCTGATCCAGCTTCCAAGGACTTCCTTTGTCTTTCCACTGACTTTAACTGGATTTGGTGTAGGCCTGACATGGATAGATGCCATTTTTCGGAAAATAATGTGTTGGAGAATGGGGTTTTTCTTTGTTGCTTTGGAACGTAATTCATAACTAAAAACTCATTTCAGCAAAGACCAGCTGTTGAAATGTGGGGGATTCCAGCCCTTTCTGTTTTGCCTTTCTGCTACATTTTCTAATAATGAATAGTCTTCATACTAAATCATCACATATTATAAGTGCTTTCTGTTGAAAAGCTGTAGTTGTTTGTATTCCCACACTAGATCTGCAAGGAGGAGCAAGGCCTGGAGACACAAGGGTAGGCACAGAGGTGTGACCATGCAGCTCCAGCACTGTTCTGGTACAGTGATCATTAATTTAAAAGGGAAGCTTAGGATGCTTTTATTTTTAGTAGTCCAAAAAGTACTGTGATTTTTAGTTTTGTGTCCTGAAGTGTCAAATTTTATATTTTTTCTATAACATCAACTTCTGCCAAGAAAGGAGCCTCTTCATCTTTAGCATTACTTTGAATGTGTCTATTATGCCCTGTCCTACTTTTTTGCTCTCTGTTCTGAACGTTTTAATGGTATCACAGTCAAAATCACCTTGAGTAAAAGTTTATCCATAACTGATATGCGTTTGTGGAATGCTTTTAATTTTCCTCTACTTTTATATTTCTGTCTCATTCTGTGTGTTTTCTAACATTTTGTCTGCTGTTTGTATTGCATCTTCACTGAGTGACTTATGCAATAGTCAGCTTTTTTTTTTTTTTGTCTGTCTAATTAAAGTGAAGAAGTTAGTAGTGTTTACGGGTGACTATGTGGGCCTATCTGTGCTGTCGGTATTGAATTATAGCTACCCATCACTGCTTATCTTCAAAGCCAACATAACAGCAAGATTGGTAAAGAATTTAATGCTGACATCTTAAAACTTTTTTAAATATGCCAGGGTAGTTAGGAATTAAATTCCCAGTGATTTTTAGTGGAAATTTGGATTCCCTGAGTACTTAGGTGCTTTAAAAATGATTCTTTATATACTTTAAATCAAGTAACATTAACTACAAAAGAAACTAATAGTGATTTGTTGAACAGTTTGACAGCCACAATAATTCAGTATTAGTTCAGCCTGTTTAGTACAATTGAAACAAGAGGAGAAATAGGCATTGCTAATTATCAGCCACATATCTTCAGGTATGAGGTGGTCCGTGCTGCACGGTTCGCATGGTTTGTTAATCCTTCCTTCAGGCTCCTCGCATGGCGTAGCATTGAGACCACAGCCCGTGTGTAGGCACACTGTCCTGGAATAGCTCTGAGTCACGCTGCCGGAGAAGAAAGCCGGCTTTGTGGTACGGGCCATGGCAGCGCCGGCGCCCCCACCGCCTCCTGTGCCTCTGATGAGGATGCAGCTTCGTAAACTCCACTCTCTGAGCCAGCTTAGCTCAGTGGACCAGGACAAAGTGGGATAGACGCTGGTCTGCTCCGGTTTTCCTGCTTGCTCCAGCTGTCACCATTTCAGTCAAAGAGAAGAGAGGGATAAATACTTATCCCCATTGTGTTTACCTATACCACAGTCCATTTTTTTATACTGACAGCAGTAATATTAGCAGTACAGGTTACTGCAGGTGATGTGTAATTTGTAATTGATTACTGCTGCAAGAATCTATCTGCTTTTATATGGCACACAATAAAAGATATAAGGTTGGGTGTAGCAAATCCGGTGACACCAGCAGAGCATGGCAGTATTATTTGAGCGTAGGCCTACTATTTCACAAATTGAGAATTTTGTTCTTCATCATTAAAATGTTTTCTTTCTGGGATCTGAGTGTGACAAAAGTGGAAGGAAGCACTCAGCTTCATATTGCGTCAGCTGTCAAGTTAAAAGTTATTTGGGAAGCTAGCATGAGTCATTCTGAAAAGTTTATAGAAATTGTTTTCATCATAATATGGAACAGGTTCTTATTACACAGTATATATGACTTGTGCTCTAGGAGTTTCTCGGAAAACAAATAACAAAGTGGTTTAACAGATTATTTTTATCAGTGCTTCATAATCAATACTTTTGTCTATAATTGTTCAAGATAACTGCAGCCAGTTATACCTCATCTGTCATTATCCCTTCTGTTTTGTTGCCATTATCCCTCCACTCGAACAATTTTGGGTATTTGGGAGTTCTGCAATAGGCAGCATAGTCTTAGCAGTGACTGTTCACATATGACTTCTGTTGTGCAGCCAAAGTGCTGAGGTAGGGAGTGGCATCAGTATATTAAGTTTTCCTCTTCTGAAGTAAAGGGAATAGATGAGTGAAGCCAGAATCTTTTAGGAAAGACAGTTAAGTGCCAGAAGACTCTGGGGCTGAAGTACTGGAGGGCTGAAGGAATTGGCAATCCCATAGGCAATTTCCATGCTTCTGCTAAAAATAAATGCCACAATAAACTGGTGACTCGTAATATATCCGAGGTATACAGCAAAAGCCTGCTAATGCATATCCACCCTACTGAGGCTATTGCTGCACGTTAGGCACTCCACAGAGACCAAAGGAATATTAGGAGGAACTCAGTATCTCTGGGAGCAGGGCAGGAGCGACCTGGCCAGGCACAGCTGGAATTTCTCTACTAAAATACATCCATTGGAGAAAAAACAAGCCAAGCCAGCAGGTAGTCATATTTTTATCTTCTCCAGCAACATGTTACAAGCAAGACAGCGGATATGGCAACAAAAAAGGAAAGTGTACTGGTGTTCAACAAAAAAAACAGCAAAAAACCACACCAGCCAGGGACCGTGTATATTTATTTACTTATTTCTTTACATCTGCAACAGTGAAATGTGTGGAGTATTTAGTTCACATTCGTGATTTCTTTATGAAGTTTGGGCTTTTCTTTTCTTTTTTTAATTTTTTTTCCAAGACTGAAATGTTGTTTTCTAATGCCAGCTCTTTTAATGACATTTCATTAATAAGAGTACTTCGGAATTATCAGTTGGAGTTATTCATTTTTCGGAATGATATCTGACAGAAAGAGGGTTAGATCTGCCATCTAAGAGCGACATCTGTACACAGTTTTATACTGACCAGACTAGGCACCTCTGGAAAGTGCAACTCTAAGTTGTCATCATGAGGATGTCTTTCTGGAAGATTTTTGGAAATGAAGCCCTGGTCTGTCTAGGAAGAGGTACCTGAAAACCCTCTCCCATAGAGCGCTCCTACAGATTTTTTTCTCCTACTCTTCTTCAAGCAGACCACAAGACCCTTTAGCTCACTGCTGCTTTCTTGCACCGGGGGTCGCCGGTGAAAGCAGCTCTGTTCAGTGTGTGCCCCGCTCACTGTATGTGTGCTGGCAGCGCTGCCGCTTCCCAGCCTGCCAGGAACCGCTCACACACCACGAAGGTCTGTCTCTATTCAGGCAGCTGGGTATCCAAGGGCAAGGCCAAGATGAAGACAGACCAAAGTAGGCTTGCTTTTTCCTTTTTTCCACATTTTGGCTCCCATGGAGATCCAATGTTCCATGCTTCAGTGGCGTCACCTCCTACTTGCCAGAGCCAAGCAATGCTTTTGGGTACCAACATATTCTCTTCTCCAACATGTGTTTTCTGTGTCCCAGGAGGAAATTTTTGAGCCTTCCACTCTGGGCTTCTTTCCTGTGTCCTGCTAGAACTGCTTTTCTGTTCATTATTTCCCTTCCAGAAAAGCTATGTTTTTGGACAAGGGTGGAGACTGTTTTATTTCTCTCACAGGAAAGAGACTTGGGCGCTTCAAACTACTTCTTATGCCCAAGAAAGTAGCAGTGGGCTACAGTACAAAACAGCTATTACTGCTCAAACTTGAATTACTCATCTGAGCAACTAGACTTTCCTAATTAGGACTAAAAGTTTCAGAAGTGTGTCGGGGTGTTTTTCACTCCATCATTTAAGTGTTAGGCATCTGTTCTTTGTTAACATTCTAGTCGTCCTCTGTAGTCAGTGGAGAGATAGACCTTCTGGAGGATGACTTGTCCCATCCTGACAAGTTTTGTAAGGTGGGATGAATCAGCTCTTAAGTTCCTAACCCACCAGCCACCAGATTTTAGAATTTAATTAGGACCTGTTTAGAACTCATAACTTTTTTCTTTCATCTTTGAATATCTTTTCAAGTAAGCTAAATCTTCTGAAAACATTTCTTAGCTCTTTTGATGAGATGCTTCTTTAATGGTAACTAGAGGATGAAATTTCCCTACTGTACTTTCATGTCATGACCCTATATATACAAAAATAATAATTTACAGATAATGAGCAACATTAACATTAACATAATGAGCGACACTGTTCCATACTCAGAAAACCAGAGTTTGCCAGATATTTTTATTTCCACACATTTGGCCTCTGCTGTTCTGACTCAAACACTCAGATAATTTTCCTTGCAGTTTTGGGGTTTTGGCTCTTCTGGTTTATAATTCTACCAACAACATCAATTTAGAAGAGGAAGACATCCGACAGAAGCTCTTAAATAATAATGGGACCATGGAAGGAGGATATAAGCTTCATACTGTGGATGTTGATCCAGTGGGTAAGTAGTTTTTGGCTTTGTTACACATCAGATTTTGTCCATAAATAAGCATCATCTGTGTTAAAATAATCACAGATTTCCAAACAGTATGACTGTTTCAGATTTTAAATTGTCCCTTTAAGCCTCATTGTTCCACTAATCTCAGAGAGCTGTGCTCAAGATATCTTTTAACACAAACACAGTTCTCCAGATTGCTTTAGTTAGTGTTTTGCTGTCTGGTTTAAAGAGGCTGGGACAGTTCCTGACAGCTCCTCTGGTAGTTTGAGGATGATTTACAGCCAGAGCTATAACGAGACATTTTGGACTTCCAAGGCCCCTCATGCCTACTCCTGAACCCTGTTGTTTGTGCTCCTGGCAGCTGCTGCCCTTAATCAATCTCCTTTTAGCTTTCATCTTTTCCCATTCAGCTTCTTCCAGTCAGACATTGCCTTTGCCATGGAGGGAGGAAGTGGGAGCTGTTGGAGTGCAAGTGGATGCAGCATGCACGTTCTATCCTTTCCCTTGAGCAGCAGCAGTATGTGTTGTCCTCTGTTGTATGCCTCTTCATTGCCACTGCTCTATAGATAACAACCCAGAATTTAATTCGAAGACAGCTTCGTGCTGTAGACTTGTTGATGAGCTTAGGACAAGAAATGGAAGATGATTAAATGAAGAAATTTACCAGTAACACTGATATATTTATATTTTTACAGAAAAATGTTTAGCTGAAGAAAACCCTCCAAACTATTTTTGGCCAGATACCAGACCAACTGTGACCAACTTTACATTATGCCATGGGAGCTCAGTTCAGACTGCATCAAGAACATGGTAGGTGTTCAAATATCTGAGAAGCTGAGAGCTTCAAATGCAACTTTCTGGTTATATAGTTAAACTGCATCCTCCATCATGGTTGCCATTGGCTGGTATTGTATTTAAGGAAGATGATTTCTGTACTGTGAGAGATTATGTGTGTGCAGTAAGACTATGTACTTCTGCTGTGGTTTAACCCCACAGCATCACACAGCTGCTCACTCACCCTTCCCCCCACCAAGCAGATGGGGAGGAGAATGGGAAAAAAACTCATGGATTGAGATAAAGAGAATTAGATAGTTTGATAGGATAACAAAGGAATAATAATAGTAATAGTAATAGTAATAGTAATGTTGTTTTGATGTTCCTCAGTGGCCCGACTCTTAGGTGTGTAGGCATCTACATGACATACTTTTATAATTAGGTTCTCTAGCTGGGCAGCAATACCTTGCCACAATGGGGCAGGCCAGATGGGTTTGCCTCTGTGGTGCCAGTTGCTCTGCTTCCGTTGCTACAACCCAATTCCCCACAGGGGACTGACCACCATCTATGAGTCAGTATAAAGGCAGAGCATCAGCCACTTTTCTCATTCGGCAATGTCTAAAGCCAGCTGGATGGCTTTCACCTTCTCCTTCAGCAGGTTCTGTGACTCGTTGTGTAGGACTCCATACAGCAGCCTTCTACCTTCAGTTCTTTCCCACAGTGCGACAGACCCATCAGTGAACAGGGCATACTGCTTCTCATTTTCTGGCAGTTTATTATACATGGGGCCTCTTCAGCACGCATCACCTCTTCCTCTGTCGATGTTCCAAAATCTTTGCCTGCTGGACAGTCCGTGATTAGTTCCAAGATTCCTGGATGATTGGGGTTTCCTATTCGAGCCTACTGTGTGAGCAATGCGACCCACTTACTCCACATAGCATCAGTTGCATGATGGGTGGAGGGGACCCTCTCTTTGAACACCCAGCACCAGCAGTCGGGGTGCCAGGAGGAGCTGTGCTTCACTGCCAACCACTTCTGAAGCAGCTCAAACCCCTTCATATGCTGCCAGTATCTCTTTTTTCAGTTGGAGTGTCGCGGGCCTCAGATCCTCTGTACCCCGACTCCAAAACCCCAGGGGTCAGCCTCAAGTCTCCCCTGGTGCTTTCTGCCAGAGACTCCATCTCTCCAGCTGTGATGTAGAGCACATTTTTAACATCTAGTCACCCCTGTCATTTGATAAAGAGGGCTTACAATCAGACTTTAATTTGGGATATGCATTCTCCAGAAACCCACAATGCCTAAGAAAGCCTGTGTTTCCTTTTTGCTAGTTGGTGGACACATAGCTGCTATTTTGCTGATCACATCCACTGGGATCTGATGACTCCTGTCTTGCCATTTTATTCCTAAAATCTGGATCTCCTGTGCAGGTCCCTTGACTTTACTTCGTTTCATGGCAAAACCGGCTTTCAGAAGTTTTTGGACTATTTTCTTCCCTTTCTCAGAAAATTCTTCTGCTGTATTGCCCCATACTATCATGTTGACGGCCCTCCAGGTGAAAGCAAACTGTGGCCTGCACTCTGCCACCAAAGGGATTGAGAAAAACACATTAGCAGTATCAGTTGTGGTGTACCACTTGGCTGCCTTTGACTCCAGCTCATATTGATGTTCCAGCATGTCCGGTGTGGCAGCACTCAGCCGCAGCGTGACTTCATTCAGGCCACGATAGTCAACTGTCAGTCTCCACTCTCCACTTTGGCCATATGGTGAGCAGGTTCTGCTGATCACTTCCTGACACTCCAGTTGATGAATCAGCTTATGGATGGGAATCAGGGAGTCAGTTGGTTTGATATTGCCACCAGTGCACCATTCTGGTAGCAATTGGCACCTGTTATTCTTCGATCCTCAGCAACTCCACAACAGAAGGGTCCTCTCTTGCAGCTTACTCAGGGACAGGGATCAGGTAGTTATCTCTGGTTCTGTCTCTTCCTCCTGCTCTTGTGATGGCCCTGTCCATCATCCTTTACTAAACAAGTTGACTTTCG